CTGAGAAGACCAGCTACCAACCCGATAGCTCTGCAACATGTTTCTCCTCTTAATAATCTACGTCCTTGCTAGTTACTGTAATCTAACACTGCTACCCTTTTCTGGGTATTTTTGAGCCTACAGGTGTTTTTGTATCCTGGCACAGCACTTATCAGAAGAGCGATTTTCTGAGTAGTGTTCAACTCTTAAATAAAAGTCTTGTTAGTACAATCTAATCATGATCCACGGTGACGTATCGTCTACAGCGCAAAAGAGAAAAACATGTTTTTCCTGTAAAGAGTCACCAATAAGACATTGATTATAACTGATTAGCACGACCCTCTGAGTGTATGAAAATCACAAGTTAGCTAGTTTCTGTTGAGATGAAACTACTTTCCTTCTGGTTCAGTCATAACGGTACATGGCATAAAGGGTGTGTGTTTTAGGGGTCAGCGTTGGGCTTGAGAAGTTAGGGGGTCAAAGTGCAGGGCAGCAGCTTTAAAAGATGCCTTTAGTGTCCTTCCAACTATTTAGTTACTGGCCACTTCGTCCGCATTGTCAACCGTCTCTAAAGTGCTGTCCAGTCCACCGCGGGCACGCCAGATCTTCACGGTCCGGTCACTGGAAAACAGAACGAAGAAACAGTGAGAAACAGTCGATTTCTAGAGCATGGTGATTTTACATTCCATTTAAATATGTATTTGTTTTTAAACGCTGCATGATCTGGCACTAGGTTACCTATCTGAACTGCTCATCACCTATTCCTTACACACATCCAGTCCAAACCAAAACAGGTCTGCCCTAACTTGTGAAATATCTTGGCTTCTCTGAGACTTGAGATTTGCAAACGATTGTTCAAATCGAGGAGCAACAGATTTTGACCTTTAGATTTTAGCTTTGACCTTTAGACAACCAAAAGTCCTCAGGCCACCTCATTGTATGCTGATGCATGTCTATGTGTTCATTTCCTGTTGGCAATACGTGCACATAGAAACTGTAAAGGATATTAAAATTCAGTTTAGGTTTCAAGTACTTTACGTACGTTTAACCCATAAAAGCCCGGACCCATTTCTACTTTTTGGAAATTTAAGGGGAGCATAATTTAGACTAAAGAGACCACCTAGAACACATTTCCGACAAGAACCCCCCCTTAAATATCTGAAATGTGACATATATGTCACATTGGACTTTAATGGTAAAATAACTCTTATTTTTAACTTAATTAATGAGGATGATTTTTTGGTTTAAATTAGTTTGAACATTCTTTGAATTGAAGAATAACAACATATTAACTCAATATATTGAATCAGCTAAATTAACTGAGCGATCATAATAATATTTCTAATTGTGCATATATGTCACTTTGGGTTTACTGTGAAAGTTTAGGGTTAAAGTCCCGAGCAATGTTTGTCTCATTTTTTCATATCAATTTGATCAATAAATGTTTCCACAACAGGTTAAATGTAATAAAGGACATGTTATGTGAGCATTTTAATTCTTAAATGGCTTGAATTTTACCTTTAGCAACAAAAAAAGCTTTTGAAATGTAGCTCGTTATGTCACATGTGTTAGCCTGGCACATGGACATCTTGGACATGTTGTTATAGGAACACAAAATCAAATGACCTGGCCCAGGACCCACCAGACTGTTCAGTGTGTGTCACTTAGAACATTTAAAGTTCATGTGTCACGGTGGGTCCTTATGGGTTAAAACCTGCAAACATGACTTTTATGAGGATTTAAATATTTGTTCAAAACTATTTTAAGTAAGAAAACTTTAACAAGAACAAATGCTTACAGCAGCCTAAAGCACCTATATTACAAACAGACAAATATATTTAGAGCTTTGTACATTATCAAAAATATATAAGTGATGAAATTAAAGTTTGTTGTTATAAAAACAATTTTCTTAATTAAAAAAAGAATCTCAGTAAAAACGTAAGTTAGTAAAAAAAAGAAAATAAACATATTTTAGGACTTATTTGTTTGTATTTTAAGCAATATATATATATATAAAATCACAAATGTATATATATGATATTTTAATAATAATAATAAACATATGTTAACGAATGATATCAAAATATTTGTGTTTTATTATTTTCATTTTTTTCCCCCTGGAATTTCTTCAATTTTCTTTTATAAATAAGTTCTTTAAATAAACTACACTGCATCTGTCACTGGAGCTTTAAGGCTTCATCTTAACTCGCTATATAACTGCAGGACTAATGGCATATGGAACAGGACATGTGTAGAAAAGTACATTGAGAAGAACCCTAAATCCAACCAGTTGTCATAGCAGGGACTTAGGGACGTGGAGACCGTTTGATGTGTTTGTGGGGTGAGACTCACTCGGAGGCGGTGAACAGATGGCTGCTGTTGGTGGAGATGCCGTTGATGGGGCTCTCGTGACCCTTCAGCTCTCCCAGGGTCCCCAGAGTGTCCGTGTGCCACAGCTTGAGCACCCCACCCCGGCAGCCGCTCAGCAGGGCCGGGGACCCGGGGACGACTCCCAGCGCACACACCCAGTCACGGTGGGCGTTCGGGACTTGCTGTTGGAAAAAAGGATTTAAGGTTTAATTATTCCCCATCAGAAATATTTTATACTTATTATAATGTGGTTAATATGTTCCTTTTTTACACATATTAATGTATTTAAATGATCTGTGTGTTCAAGTGTTTTGGTCACTTGTATTCTTTTTTGTATAAAATACAAGTAAAAATTAAAAGTCAAATCAAGTATAATCAGAAACGTTTAGTAAAAATATTAAACATTATTTTCATAGATACCAATTAATTATCTGTGAAATGGATGAATTGACAAAGCTGTTCTTGTACATATGGTTGACTAGATTAATTATAAAAAAAAACATTATATTAACTTAAGCAGTAAAAAGTTTTTACCAAAAGAGAAAAAATACAATATTTTCACTTTAAAATGAAAATATGATTTACTTTGTGCCTTAAAAGTGATAAGTCATATTCCTCCTAATACTAATTATAATGTGGTTAATATGTCCCCTTTTTAAATGATCTGTGGGTTCAAGTGTTTTGGTAAATTGTATTAAATAGAGTCTTTTTTCTGTGGTATTAGATTTTCTTTAATGGTTGAAAAGCTTTTAAAACAGCATGTTGGCTGCTCAGTCAAATGAAATGCTTTTTTTACTAAAATATGACAGGGAGAAAATGATGTGTATAGGCAGATATGCTGATCAGTGATTTTGCAGTAAAAATGCTTTGTCATGTGATAGGTAAAAAAGCAGGAAATATCATGAAAAACAATACACATGATGCCTAAGTGTAAAGCACCTTAAATAACCCTTTTTTACAATAAGCCCAATGCTGTGCTCCATTTAAATACCAAATCATTTTTGTGGACCCCTCCTTGTGATGTCTGCTGGTCTCCTACCTGCAGCAGGTCTTTGCGGTCCAGGTCCCACTTCTTGATGCCGTTGTCTCTGGAGCCGCTGAACAGAATGTCGCCCTGCACCACCAGAGACTCGATGCCGTCGTAATGCGGAGGTTCGAAGTTGTGTGTGGGTCCGATGCTCCCCAGAGAGCCTTCAGTCACGTCAAACAGCTGACACACACACACACACACACACACACACACACACACACACACACACACACACACACACACACACACACACACACACACACACACACACACACACACACACAGGAAGACAGCGCTACATGTGAAGCTTTCAAGCTCCCACATGTTTGAAACATGAGTGTTTTTATGAGCAGCACAGGGAGCCTTTAGAGAGGTGTGTGTGTTGATGTGGTGTGTGTGTACATGTTCAAAAGTTCAACTTCAAAGAGTTGAGTATAATATGTCAATTCAACAGTTGTGTGTATGTGTGTGCACAGGGGACTGTGGTAAATGTGTTTAATAAATAATGTAAAAGTTAAACCTTTTTCCCCTCTTTTGTATGTGTGTGTGTGTGTGTGTGTGTGTGTGTGTGTGTGTGTGTGTGTGTGTGGTGTAGTGTGTTGTGTGGG